TCATTCATCCCAATTTTACATACAATATCATAACATCCTGTAACGTGCCATACCATATCCCATATACTATTTTATTTTGCTGCAAAATAATTTGTTGACAACATTACAATGTACGAACTGATACAAATGCCACGAGAACACGAGAGTTAAACAAAAGTTAAACAAATATGTTATTTACATTCAGATCGTATGAATACTACACATTTGTCGGCTACTTGCTTGCTTAATATTTTAAAACGTTTGTTGAATCCTATATCCTCCCTCAAATATAGTTTATATTATATCATGGTTGAGAGAACGTATTGATTATTTTTCCTCGAGTTTAGTTAACAATTAGGTCGTGCTCCAAATACGTGTCGAAGAGATGCAACCTTGCTTAGATAATATGCATAGTATGCTTCACTTGGCAAACTCTACACGTCAGGAAATGAGTTTGTTAAATGTACCACTTTTAATGTCTTTTTGAAAATATAAGTTCACTACTAAAGTGTTAACTGACACGTTAACAAATGTCACTTCGATTATCTAGCATGCATTCAGATATTAAGACGAGTGTACAATCATTATATTCAATGTATTATTTCCGTTATCAGTTCGTGTAAATGATTCATGATATTATTTCAAACTATAACAACTACATTTTCAGTCGTTGCGATAAAAAGCATGTAAACGTTGTTAAAGATTAGCCAAACAACACATAATATAACAATGTTTTACAAATAAATAACAGGAGACTCTGTGGGATTATGTTCATGATATACAATATTACAAAACGACAATATACGACAGATAATACACACATTTTATCATTTCATTCGGACATTAGATCATTGAATTCACATATGACACATATTTCATTATATTTTATTTGGATTTTCATTCTATAGGATATAGCATTTAGGATGTTACTGATAATTCGAGGCATGGTCAATCTGTAGGATTGCAAATGTAAAAAATAAAAATATATATAATATGGGTTATTATCTAATTGTGTTGGCTTTGTGTATGGAG